TCTATCTATCTATCTATCTATCTATCTATCTATCTATCTATCTATCTATCTATCTATGGAAGAAAATGTTAAAAAGTGCTCTACTTAGTTTTGCTCCTAGATACAAAATACAGATTATACTGAAATCTTAATTAAAAAGATAAACAGTAAAAGTTCATTAATTAAAATAGATTCTAACTTTGGGATATCGAAGTGATAAGAAGTGGCTGTCCCATTTGATATCTGGCCTTGTCTTATTGGCCTTGTTGATTCATTATTGAAGTAGAACTGCTTTTTTAAGGCATATTGGTATGTCCTAATTATCCACTTTTATATTTCTCTTTTTGAAGGATTAAACTTGATGAATTACTGATAAAGCAAATTGCTTTGTTGTTGACACCCCTGTGTTTTCCTTCCCCGGATGTGTTCCAGTGGGGCCTAGACAACCATTTGTCTGGATGACAAAATTTTAATTCTATAATTATGTGAAAGAAAATGGAAGGGACATTAACTATGGCAATTCACATTGGTAAAAGCCCCATCTAGCCTCATGTCTAAAATATCAGACAAGATTATAAAGCCAAATTTGAAATGGGATAACCATTTCTCATCACTTTGATATCAGAAATTTAGACTCTATTTTAATTAATGAAGTTTTGCTTCTTATGTTTGCCACTTTTAAGAGACACAACAGGAGGGATTACTTTCTACTCACATTCTTGTAGATCTTTCTTTAAGGGGATGAAGCACACGGTCACATCATCTGACCTCTATCCCAGCCAGAAATTGGTGTATACGCACACTTGCATGCATTACCACCCAATAGGGGTAAGTTGGCTGCGCTTATGACTGCTATCACCATTATATGGTCTTCCTCATTCAGAATAAACTTATTAAAAGTGAGGATGGCAGGCACAACTGGTTAAAAAGAACAGGGTTTCATCCATGCTGTTGTGTCCATCATTTTTTACTATTTGACACCCACTTAGGGCACCCCAGCTGTCAGCAAAACCTTTCTTAATAAGGACCGATTACTTTGCCTTCCTCTCATCCTGGCAAACATAGCCCATTCACCCAGCAGTTCAAGATGTCTGTTTCCACGCTAATGTATTAAAAAACCAATATGAGATTTCCTCAGTGAACTATAATTTGTAATAACTGTTTTTGTAATAAATGTTTTTTTTTTCAAACAGGGCGAATCTTACAATAGCAGCAGCCAATATGGAAAGGTACAATTCCTGGAATAGTTTTACCTGTAAAGGGAAGCATCGTTTGGAATGCTGGACTCTCTATCAACAGCATATTTGCAGTCAAAACTCAGCTTTTCCTTTCTTTTTTCTTCCTTAGTCCTTGAAATTTATTGCAACAATAAATCTAAGTTCAAACCAGAGTACAGAAGTCTGCTACTGATCTTGAAAATCTGTACTTCCTTTGATTTTTTTAGTTTTGATTATATAACATTCAGTCAGTAATTTTATTTTGGTCATTGACCAGCAAAATAGACCTTTGGAAAAAAAAGAGTCACATTTTACTTGCTGAAAATCAATGCTGTTTATACAGCACATAAATTAACTACAATAAAACCAACTACATAGCAAGAGAGCTAAAATATCCATTTAAGAATTTGGGGCATACAAATTAATATAATAAGGCATTATGCAATTTGAATAAGGCAAATATTTATTATTAATTCAAGTAATAAAAATAACATTAATAATATATAAAAGCATTACAGAGCTAAAATCCATGGAAAAATGTAATTAATATTAATATATCTAGAGACAAATAAACATTGACTACACATTGTTGATCACACAAATTAGCAACAATTTGGATATGATTAAAATTAGATGCCATTTCCTGAAATCTGATCAGGGTAACCTGCATATTAAACTACACTAAAAATAAGAGACTGCTGTATGAGAATTCTGAGAAATATTTGGTTCTTGTGGATCTTCTTGGCATGTTTTCTGCTCAATCCCTGCCATGCCTCATTTTACCACTTCCCAGTTTCAATTTCCAGAGTAGGATACAGCCTGTGCCTGTTGCCAAGACTTTGAGGATATGGATTTATCTTGTCAGGACTATTGAAAACATCCCCTTCTATCTAAAGCAATGTTTCTCAAACTTGGGAGCATTAAGATATGTGGACTTCAACTCCCAAATGCCTGAAGAATTCTGGGAATTGAAGTCCACACATCTTAAAGTTTCCAAGATTGGGAAACACTGGTCTCGAAAAACAAAAAGTTACTCCTCCATATGTCCCACAGCCAGGTCAGGATAGAGGCATTTTCTTGTCTCCAACTAAGAGTCATATAATAAAGTATCAGAAAGATATTGGATTCCTCATATTTTACAGAACCCTTCCTCTTCTGGAGCCAGTCAGCCAGGAGGTCAGGTAAGAGATTCTCTCTTGGTTAAGTTGAGGTGTAACTTTCTTGTTTTTAAAAGCAAAATCATAACATATAAAAATATTGCTTGGCTAAAAAAGCATCTGCATCAGAAATAATTTATTTTCCTTTGTAGAACTCAGCTTCTTCAGGAGGCATCCAAACTGATGGACAAGTAAGAAAATAATGTCCAGGCAGTCTCTTGACCTTTCATTCCCATCATTGTGTTTGCTTTCACAGTGCGGGGGGAGGGGGGCCCACCACTAACCATATGGAGAGAGTGGTGAAATTGCTAGTCCAGTTGTAGTTAACAAACAACAGTGGTGACAAGGTACCATGTTTTCTTGGTTTCAGGAGAGAGGATGTCATGCTCCCACTGC